TAACTGCTGCTTTGGGCTGTGGGAACCAAGGGAATAAGCAGCTGCCTTTGAAGTTTGATCTCCCCAGATTTCCCCCCATGATCAGGTGTCTGTGCAACAGAGAGGAAGGTGTGCAGGTGCTTTCCTGCTACATCACCATAGATGTGTCTACTAAAGTGTGTCTTAAAAGGCCCCAAATATTTCTCTCTCCAGGAAGAAGTGAATGCCAGAGCTGTGGCAGTTCTCCCCTTGGCTGCTCAGTTCTGGGGGATCAGAGCAAGTGGGAGGCACGGAGGAGGTGGGACGGGCAGAGTTCAAACCTTCTCATTATGCTCCAAGATACAGAGATCAAAAGACAACTTTACGAATTAATAAGGCCTCCACCTGGGCAGAGCCTCTCCCCGGCATGGATGGGCGGGAGGGGAGTGTGCCATAATGAGCAAACTGCCTCTTCTTCACCAGCCGGTAAGACAGGTTCTGGGCTCCTTGCAAACAAACCCTGTGGCCCAGCTCGTTAGAGTTCATTCATGTTGTTACATATTCATATAGCATTAGCACCATCAGGCCCCGTGTTTAATCAGGCTGCAGACTTGCCTTGATCCTTGCAGGTCTTGGAGGACCTTCCATCAAGCATATGCCAGAAGTGCACCAAATTGTTGGCTTGAGTAAGGAGGGGTCTTGGGAGCACGATAACAGGGCAAAAGATCAGAAACCTGACACAGAAAGCTGGGTTATCAGAGGAACCTGGATGATAAAGTTATCAAGGACACAAGTTAGTGCTTTGTCAAGGCAGTAGCTTGCCAAGAGCTTCCTGAAAAAGAACAAAAGAGCCATGGCTTATCTGCCTGTGGGATCTGCTTGGTGCTCAGGCACGGTCATGCTGCTCCCAGCTGCTAATCCATAGGCGGTTTCGATTGTGCATCATGGTGTACCACGGAGTGCCAGCTCCGTTACCGGATGGGTGCTTCCAAGCAGCAGGCTAGAGAGCGGCAAGGCAAGTCTGGGATTTGGGCTCTGCTCCAGCTGTCCCAGGCAGTCCTCTGAGGCAGGCACCACCACAGGGAACCACCACACAGGGGTTTAATCCTGGCCAGAGGTCAGTGCTGATCCATCATCAAGTGAGGAGACAGGTATTTCCCAAGGTAATTCCTGCTGTAGCACACACAAATGACCTTTGGAAATGGTGCTGTCACCACTGATGAGGAAGTGTATGAAAGAGGCCAAACCCACGTGCCTAGCTTTTGGTTGGACAAAATAAAGAGAGACATGTCCTTCCCTCAAGCCCCTCTAGCCCTTGGTTTCCCATCTGTCAAGTGAAGATAAAGGCAACACCTTTTCTGTTGGAGATAAGCATGGATAAATCCTTAAAGACTGCAAAGGATTCAGAGAAGGGGGTTATATAAAGGTGCTTATATTAAGTACCTTACACAGACACACCAGCTCTAAGCTGGGTATAATCTTGTTTATTTAGGTTAGAGCAAAGGACTTGAAGTTAAACTGGCTGGGATCTCATCTGAGCTCCAACAGGATCAGCAGTGGGCAGTGGAACAAAACTAAGGGACAGTGCTGCTCTTTGCCTTCTTCCTTTTAAATCAGAAAGTTTTAGATACCCTGAAGGGCACTCAGTAGCTGTACCCAGCTTTCCATGCCCTAAGGATATTCAGTATCCAGTTTTTTTCGATAGTCCTGAAGTTCCTGATTCCTAAACATTTGCATGCCTAAATGCACAGCCTCTGTTTAAAGAAACTGTCACCCTTTTGGTGGAAAGGGCAGAGTGTAGAAAGTTTTTTTACTCTAGAAAACTCTATAAACAAGAAAGTCCAGCTACATGCAGGGATTGTCTGGGTGAGTGGATGTCTTCTGCAGCTACTGGAAACTACGTGCTGGCAGGCTGGTGGGCAGTGACGCTGGCTGGGGCTGCAGGAGGTTAGAGATGCTGGCACAAGCCCTTGGTTATCCTGTTAGAGGGATTAGGAGCAGACATGGGCTTAATCCACTGCTGTGGTGCTGCGATCGTTTCTCCTTCCTGCTTGGAGTGGCTGACGTGTGGCAGGATGGGAGGCTTGATCCCACGGGGCAGGAAACCTTCCCAGGACCTGTGCTGTGACCTGAACCACAACTTTGGGCTCTAGGAAAGAGCCATGCCTGTGAGGAATGAGGCTGGCTACCTCTGGCAGGGTTTTTTTTTTCTGGGCTCTTGAAGCTGGGGTGAGGGAGAAAAATCATGTTGCAAGGAGGGCTGTGGGAGCGTTTTGGGTGGGGAATCCCTCCGGGGTGTAACGGTTGACTTTCTTTTGAGATAAGCCTCATCCAGTGAACTGCTTTATAGAACAGATAATTCAAACAATAGGAGCTGCTACCAAAAAAGATCCATGCAAGGGCTGAGCAGGACTTTGCTGAGGGTGGGGGGGCATCTTTACTAGTTGATAATGTGGAATGAGAGATCCTGTGGTTCAGAGGTGAGTGTCTGAGAGGGACTGAAGGAACACAAATCCGTGCTGATACCTGAGCCTTCACCGCACACTCATTGGCCATGGGACGCACCCTGGCTGGTTTTATGGCAGATGGGGGCTTTAAGCTTGAGCAAGGGGCAGGCTGTGTATTGTTCACCTCCCTTGTTCATAGGAAAACACCTTTGTATAAGCTGGAAATTAAAGAGGATTGCATCAGAGAAATGAGTGGCCCCATCGCCTATTTTCCTCTTTATGACCCCAACTACGGGAACCAGGCTATCTGCTATCAGCACAGCTTGGAAAGGGTTGTAGCACAGCAAAGCCTGGCAGATCTCCATGCAGAAGAAACCAAACCCAGTGGTAAATCCTGCTATAACCAGGCCTAAGTAGTCCCTGCAGAAGGGAGTGAAATTATGCCTGACCTTCGACCTACCCAGCTCTTTCAAGTAGAGCCATCCCTTGCGAAAACTTGGCGGCTGTATGAGCCCGGGCGTGGTGTTCGCCTGTGGGAGCTGTCTCCATTCCTTCTTGCTTCTCTGTCCTTGACAGGTTGTTCCTTTCTCTTCTCTTCTCTGCTTCCCATAACCAGAGCCTCCCACTGCCAGCTGGGACCCGACAGACTCTTCCCAACCCTGGTTTCTCATTGGGATGCCCCTCTCCATCGCAGGTCTCCATTCACTGGTGCCTGCAGGAAGCATCATCCCTATGGAGAGAGCATTGCTCTGCCTGGCCTCCAACACTTGCTTTTTAATATCCTTTCCCATGCATGTTCCCCAGGACATCGGCATTCATGCCTCTGGGGACAGAAAGAAAACATTTGCTTTCTGTTTTTAGAGAGGCTGATGCTTATTCTGCAGCTCCCTCTGGGTCTTGCATTCTCTCCGAGACTAATCCAGGCATTAGCCCCTCAAAAGGCCAAACAAACACCCTTGTCCTAGTTGCTTGTGCACAGCCCTGGGAATCTTGCCCTGCACTCTCCTCCTCCTGACCTTGTTTTCGTCGGAACACCACAGCAGTAATTACCCTGAGGTTGAAGGGTTATTCGAAAGCAAGTACTGTGTCTTCTCTTCTCCTTCCATTCCAGCTGCTGTTTCTCCCTACACTGGAGTTAAACTCTACCTGGTGTTTCCTTTGGGTTTTTATTAACTAAAGAAAACACTGCCAGCAAGGGTGATGGCTGTAGGTGGGAACAGGTGCCCCGTTCTATGTGTTCCTCGTGTTCTAGCACTCCGACAAATCACCAGTGCACCAGGACCTGCTGGCAGGTCTCTCCTTGGGGTATCACTCCCAGTTTGGGTGCTCTCATGAGCATTGGTTGACTGCATCTGAGAAAAGCATTAGCTGGACACTGGAGCGGAGTGGGAAGACTGGTCAAAGTGCACAGTCTGGCTGGGCTGCCCGGCCTGCGGCTGCTGCCGTGGCTGCATTGCCAAAGCCAGGAATGTAGCAACACTTGGGCAGAGTCAACACATAAATATGAGCAGGCCAAGTGTCTGAGGTGGGTTAGTTAATGCTGAAATGGAGGGTTTTGCAAGAAGAGATAAAAACCAGCTTCATGTTTAGGAGGAGGAGGGCTTTCCATTACAGGGTCAAATTATCCAGCACTCCTGTGCTGTGCAGTCCTCTTTTCCAAAGAATTTGCTGCTGAATATGGATTTAGCCTCAATATACTTTAGTCTTTCAGGGTTAAATATGTTTCTGCCTTCCAGGGCAGAGCTCTCCACATGGCACCAGTTCCTCTCAAGAGCATGGCTGGGCTTTTCCAGCCCTTGGTGGCTGGGCACAGCTCAAAGAGGAGCTAGTTTGTGGCTGAACCAGTGTAGCTGTGGTGTGGTGCTTTGGGCAGAGAACTGTTATGTCCCTCCCAGTCCCTTTCCTGTGTACGCCCAACCTGGCTGAAAACTGTTTTCCTCGATGCTAGTTAGGAGGAACTTGGGAAAACCCCATGCCGCTGGCATGCTGGGTGACAAGGGCAGCACAAGGCACTCCTGTTCCCTGTCCGGCTGAGGGTAAGCCCTCGCCAGCTTTCATCTCACCCAGGGAGAGAAAAGAGGGGTTTGTGCTGCAGAACAGCTCTTCCTCCTGCCAAGTGTTGGCAGCCCCCAAGTACATCCCGGCCCAGCTCTGCACCCTCTCCCTGCCAGCCAGGGCCAGGAGCCATGGGCACTGCCAGGCTCAGGAAGTCCCCACCAGCCGCCCGAGGGTCAAGGTCTGGCGTGGGGCAAACCAGCGCACTGGAGCATCATCAGGTTGCCCGTGGTGGCTCTTACTTCCAGACTGCTAATGAGGCACCTTTGGCTCTGAGGTCAGTCCACAACCTCTCGCCCTCCTGCTGCCTGCCTGAACCCTACACCCCGGGCTGGCTGCGGCGCTCCTTTGCTGCCTGCACCCTCAGCGCTGCCTGCTCCCTCCTTCCTGCCTGCACCCCTAGTGCTGCCTGCACCCCCCGCGGGGGCTCCCCGGGGTCGCGGACCCTCCGTGGGGCAGTGCCGGGCGCGGCGGGGCCGGTCCCGGTCCCGGTCCCGCCCCGGGGGCGGGCGGCGGAGCACGTGGGGCCGCCGGGCCGGGCTGAGTCACTGCCCGCCCCGAGCCCCGCGGCGAGCGGAGCGGAGCGGCTCGGTGGGGATCGCACGGCTCGGCTCGGCTCGGCTCGGAACGCAACATGAGGGTGCAGAGATCGTTGCGACTGCTGTTCGCCCTGACACTGGGGCTCTCGCTGCTGCTGCTCGTGTCCAGTGAGTGCCGGGGAGTCCGGGATGCCGGGCAGCCTGGGTGCAGGAAAACCTGGCTGCCAGCGAGCGTGGGGTGCTGGAGTGCCGGAGATCAGGGGTGCCGGGGGTCCCGTAGTGCAGGGGAGCCAGGGTGGCGAGGAGCCTGGGGTGCTGGGGATCCGATATCTGGAGTGCAGGATTGTCCGGTATGCAGGGAATCCGCGGTGCAGGGGAGCGTGAGGAGCAGAGGATCCAGAGTACTGAGGATCCCGGGATGGTGGGGATCCGGAGTGCAGGGGATCCAGGGTGCAGGGGTTGTCCGGTGTGCAGGGGAAGCCGGGATGCCGGGGATCCGCGGTGCTGGGGATCCTGATGCAGAGCGAGAAGATGTGGGGTGCAGGGTGAGCGGGTCCCAGCTGCCGTGTGTGGGGTGCAGGGGTGCGAGTGGGAGAGTGCGCAGCGCTCTCCTGCCGCTACAGGAGCAGAGGAACTCGGGTCCGCGGCCCCGTCCTCGCTCCCGAGCCGTGAGTCGCTCAGCCGGGTATCCCGTGCTCTCAGGCTGAGATAACCGTGCCCACAATGTAAACAACCTCCCTGGGACCGCCTGGTACTGCGCGCCCGGCTGGCCTGGCCAGGGGAACCCCGGGGAGTAGCAGCACCATCATCACCCAGTGGGTCGTGTCTGGGGCTCCAAAAGGGATGGACGGGACCAGAGAAAAGGGGAGCAAAGCCCAAGTGGAGGCTCCAGGCCAAGGGACAAAGGGCAGCAGGAAGGGGTGAGGAAGGCCCTGTTTGTGTTCGCTCTCCCTGGGCTGAGGTGCCCTTTCTGCCCTCTCGAGACCTGACCTCCCCCAGCCCTGCTGGGATGAGCCGTCCCAGTATTTGGAGGATGTTATTTTTGCCTTCCAGCCAGCCTGTGGGTTCATATAAGCAAACATTTCCAAAAGCAGTGGCTGATCTTTGTTGCCTTGGTTCCTGAGTGTTCAGCCTGTGACAGCTCTGTCCCAGACTGCAGAAAAATGTGTGTGTGGAGGATGGAGATGCTGAACTGCTCTGAAACCAGGCTCAAAACAGCCGAGAAACAGGAGCATCCCAAACTGCTTGCTACAGTGGAAAATGTGACCTGTGTGCCTCCCTGCTGAGAAGGGGACTGGCTACCAAGACCCACCACGTAAGGGATTATTCCTGGGAGGGGATAAAAGGGAGTCTAGTTACTTGGAATAACTCAAGTATAAAACTGGGACCCCTCCTATCCTGACCTTGGGAGGACTCATTGCTGCTTTGCTGCTGTGTCCCACCCCGGACACTCCTGCGCTGGAGGCAGTGAGGATGCTGGGGAGGACACGTTCCTTGGCGCTCCATGCCTGGGGAGGCAGCTGCTGCTGAACAGAAGTTGTTCTGTCCGCAAGGTCCTGGCTAGCTGCCGGGAGAGATCCTTGGGATGAGGAGGCTGGATGTGCCTGAGACCTGCGGAGGGGCATGGGGCAAAGGCATCCCTCGTATCAGCAGGAGCCCTCTCTTCCCATGGTGTAGCTCATGGCAGCGCATTGATGGAGCATGAGGTCATGCAGAACAGGCTGGGCAGTGCAGGCAGAGACTTGAACTGCTGCCCAAGTTTTTCTGCCTCCTGAGGCTGGGCTAAGGGAGCTACAGCATCTTTTTGGAAACCTTCATCTGATGTTGGCCTGTCTGCCACCAGTGTGTACCGTACAGATGTGGAGTGTCAGGAAGAGTAGGATTAACTCAAAGGAGTCCTGCTATTATAGGACTAATGAGTAGGAGCTCACTGAGTAGTAGCTTAGGCTAATGAGAACTGCACTGTTTGGTGTGGGTCTGGGCAGCGAGCCCACAGCTTGTTAACTTCCACCTTCTCCAGGTCATGTAGGTAGTGAAGGGTTATTCCTGGGTCTCCACGTGGGTTCAGCCCTTGCTCTGACACCTGCAGCGTGGCAGAGAAGAGCCTGCCATCAAAGGATGTGCTGTCCTAGCGCTTGGCGAGGAGTTACTGAGGCTTTCAGCCCGTTCTGTGGAAATCTGATGTAGGTTTATGGAGAATGTTGCTGTCTTGCAGCTTTTAGGGCAGAATTAATTAAGGGTGGGAGGAATTTCAGCCCAGCTCTTGCAATCTGATTGAGCCCTGCAATGGGGAGCAGAAGGTTGATGGGTGCGGTGGGCTGACTTCACTCACTCCCCTCCTCAACAGGATAGGGTGGGAAAAAGAAGGCAAAGATCCAGCGTGGGTCCTTCCCATGGACTGCAGTTCTTCATGAGCTGCTCTGCTGTGGGTCCTTTCCATGAGATACAGTCCATAAGGATGAGACTGTTCCCTCCTGGCGTCCTCTGTGGGCTGCAGTGTGATATTTGCTCCCCTATAGTCCTCCACAGGCTGCAGGGAAACAGGTCGTCTTCATGGGCAGCGCTTGGAGCACATCCTTCCCCTCCTTATTCTCTGCAAGTGAGTAAGGAGGTGTCTGCAAGGCTGTTTCTCTCACATTTTTCTCCTCGCCCACAGCTGCTGTGCAGTGTTTTTTACTTTTTCTTGGGTTTATTATCACAGAAGCAACCTGAGTGTTGGTGATGGGCATGGCTTTGGGCAGCAGAGAGTCTGTTTTGGCATTGTCTGGGACTGGCTGTCTCCAATGTGGGAGCAGCTCCTGGTGTCTTCTTGGAGAAGCCACCCTTCCAGCCCCTTGCTACCACCACCACCTTGCCAAGTAAACCCTTTACCATGGGAGATGCTGGAAGCGAATGAACAGGCAGAGAAGATGGTGCAGCCCTACCAGTTCCCTGGGGGAACCTGCCTATGAGCTGGGGCTGCCTTGTGGGAGCTGCTGGGAGAGTGATGAAAGTCTGGTAGATGTTCTGCAGGGATGGACTCTGTGCTCCCTCCCTGCACGTCTCCAGCATCTGGGAACCAAGGCATGTGGGCTTCCCCTACAATTGTTTTTGTTTGTGTTCTTACAAGTGCAAGCTTTCATGAGCAAAACCCAGCAGTGGCACCAGCCCCTTTCCCTTGAATGATCCTGTCCTGCTTGTGCATGAGTGAACCCCAGTCTGGCCACCCCTGCTTCCCAGCCAAACATCAGAAACATTTGATGCACCAAAGCCCTGGGTTTCCCCTGTCCTCTCTTTGACGTGGAGACTCTGTTAAACCCAGAGCCGGGCAGGTCCTTGCTGCTCTCTCATGCTCCTGGTCTCAACCATCACTCTTGAATGCCAGCAGTCCTGTGCAGGATCCAGCAGCCGGTCCCTGCCAGGTGCTTCCCTTCCCCGTGGAATCTGCAGCAGACTGGTTCCTGCTTTTGAGTTGGGATGCCTTCATGTGCATCCATGGGGTTCTGGAGGATGCCCGCCTCAGGGATGGTTTGCAGTGACACATGGCTTTACTCCCAGGTGACTTCTGCGATGTGAACCGCTGTCAGAATGGGGGCACCTGCCTGACTGGGATTAATGAGGCCCCTTTCTTCTGCATCTGCCCCGAGGGCTACGTTGGGATTGACTGCAATGAGACGGAGAAAGGTGAGGAGCTGACCCTCTCCTGGGTGCTCCATGAAGGCCAGGAGCCTTGCAGGAAGTTAGTGTGCCTTAGCTGTGGTCCTGCACCACTGCCCCTGGGGTCCAGCCTTGCTGATGGCAGATGGAAACATAGAGTGGCAATCCAAGCATGGATATGGTGACGGGATACACCTGGGGGGAATGCAATGTCTTTGGGGAGTGGCAGCCCACTGGATGTTCTTATTTTTCCACCTGTGCCTATATTACAGCTTTTTTTTCCCTTCCCCAGGCCCCTGCCACCCCAATCCTTGCCACAACAATGGCGAGTGCCAGCTGGTCCCAAACCGGGGGGACGTCTTCACCGACTACATCTGCAAGTGCCCCGCGGGGTACGATGGGGTGCACTGCCAGATCAGTGAGTATGGTGGTGTGAGGGGGCCAGGGGAAACTGCTTCTCCACTAAGGCTTGGAGTCCCTCTGGACAACTCAGGGGTAACAACTGGAGGGTGTTTGCAGCTGTGACTGTGTGGGGCACCAGCTTCTGTCAGGGACCATGGGCTGTTTTACAGCTGGCAGGGTGGAGGGAAGTGCCACGGCACAGGGACAGGCTGTGTCTGAGCCTTGTTTTGCATCTCTGGATGGACACAGTGCCTCGAGTAATGAGACAGGGGGTGCCTGGAGGCTCAGCCTGCTCCATGTGAGCTCCCAACCTTGAGTGTCCTGGTGCACCTGTGTCATTGCTCTCAGTGGGGATGTGGTGTAGACGGCTCCTTTGGTTGGAGCTTCAACCTGTGCCACCCTATCAGCAGGGACCCTGCCATGGCCCTTGCTCAGGGGATGCCTCCCCTCTTCCTGCTGCACCAAATAAGGGGTCTCCTCTCTGGGACTGGTACTGGGATCACCTCCTAAGCTGCCCCACTCTGTCTCCTAGACAAGAACGAGTGCTCCTCCCAACCTTGCAAAAATGGAGGCAGCTGCCTGGACCTGGATGGTGACTACACCTGCAAGTGTCCTTCTCCATTCTTGGGGAAGACCTGCCATGTCCGTAAGTCCCTGGCACCAACTGTACAGAATTCCCTTTCCTTCCCTGTTCCCCGCTACTCTGTCTGTCACTGCCAGTGTGCTGAGGAGAGATCTCACCAGCTGGGTTAGGGGATCTGTAGGGTAACTGTGGGTGCTGGTGTGCTGGCTGCCCTTGATGCCAGCCAACCAGCCAGGTCCTAATGGAGGGAACATACTTGGAAAGGTGCTGTCTCCTCTCTGGGGTGGCCCCCAGATGGCACTTTCACCCCAGACCTCTGTACTGTGAGGGGGACAGATGGATGGTGTGGTTTCGGATGAGGGCTGAGGAACAGGGGACACCTTGGGGACAACCAGATCCTAGGGCTGGCCTCCATCTCCTTCTGTGTCCCCAGACAAGAAACAAATGACCCCTAGTTCTGCTCCCTGGTTACTGTCTCTCTTGGGCCCTGATCTTCCCATTGTCCCCAGGCTGTGCTGTTCTCCTGGGCATGGAAGGAGGAGCCATCTCTGACGCCCAGCTGTCGGCATCCTCTGTTTACTACGGCTTCCTTGGCCTCCAGCGCTGGGGGCCAGAGCTTGCCCGCCTCAACAACCACGGCATTGTCAATGCCTGGACCTCCAGCGACTATGACAAGAGCCCCTGGATCCAGGTACCTGTGGTAGGACCGGGAAACCAGCATAGAGAGCAGCCCCGGTAGCCGTGGCTGATTTTGCAGCACTGCTGTCATGGGATTTCCCTGCTCCTGGTGGGAAATGAGGGGCTGAATTTCTGCAGCAGGGTTCCACCCAGGGGCATCTTGGGATGTGCCTGGAGAAGGCAAGTCCATTGGAGGAAGATGGGAATCTGGGGTGGTGCTCCCTGGTCTGCCCACCATGGGATGCAGGGCTGCAGGGCTGGAGGGCTTTTGCCTGGAGGAAGTCATAGTGCCCTGGGCAGCCTCTCTCCTGGTCCTGATGCTGAGTGTGAACCCACCTTTTCATCCAGGCTTGGTGGTGCTGGTGGGGGCAGGGGCTGTGCACCCCCTCTGTGCTGTGCCCTGCTCATCCTCCTCCCCTCCACAGGCCAACCTGCTGCGGAAGATGCGGCTGACCGGGATCATCACGCAGGGCGCGCGCCGAGTGGGGCAGCAGGAGTTCGTCCGCGCCTACAAAGTCGCCTACAGCCTGGACGGGCGTGAGTTCACCTTCTTCAAGGACGAGAAGCTGGATGTAGACAAGGTGAGCTGCGATGCTCTGCGCTCCCAACTCCCCTCAGCCCTGTGAGCTGCATCCCAAAGTGTTCCTGTGTGTGGGAAAATGCTTTTGACCTGGGGCAGAGCTGTGCTGGGAGCCATCCTAGCAGCGAGATGGCACAGGCGGTTCCAGCACTGAGCAGGACTCTCTGCCTCTGTTTAATTGACCATAATAAGCATAATCAAAGAAGCAGCAGTGACATATTTAGGTCGTTCAGATAATATCTTTATCACTGACACACTGTGGGAACTGGGCACGGTCTGGCAGTGCTACTGAACAGCTTGGGTGGCTTGTTGTGTGTCTGCACCAAGCACTTGTCAAGAGTGTGTCTCTCAAAGCAGAAATACTCGTAGATTGCAGTGCACTCCACTCTCAGTTCTTTATGGCAAGTGTCTCCTGGTGTTTTTTTGAGCATCCAGGAAATGGTTGTAAGTATCTGCTTTGCTTTACAAAACCAAAAAATTCCTCTTGTTTCTGCAACAGTGGAAAAAAATGCATGAAAACATAACCTGACTCTATTTGTTGTGTTAAAAAGAAAGAAGTGAGTTACCTCTGTGCTTTTCATAATTTGTGGAGTACTGTGATAGTGGGAAGAAGTGGATGTTAATGTGTGTGTGGCTCTCTGGGAGTGAGGATGAAGCAGAAAACGTTGCAAAGCTCTGTTGAGAGTGTTAAAGCTGCTGCAAAGTCGTGCACTGCTCCAGGGCACGAGAGCAGAGCCCAGCTTTCCGCTCTCTGCCCTTTTGCCATTGGCGATGCTGAGGTCTGTCCATCTGCTGTGCAAGGGATTTGATGCAGGAGGCTGTTGGAGGGCCGGGCCACTCAGCCCTGCTCACTGTTGCAGGTTTTTGAGGGGAACATGGACTACGGCACCATGCAGACCAACATGTTCAACCCTCCCATCACGGCCCAGTTCATCCGCATCTACCCCGTGATGTGCCGCCGCGCCTGCACGCTGCGCTTTGAGCTCATCGGCTGTGAGATGAACGGTAAATGTTGGTGGCTCTCCCCTCCCCAGGGGCCGCAGGGCAGGGGGTGACATGGAGCAGGGCATCACCCCTTGTCCTGGTTCTGATCACCCAGCACAAGGCATTTGTCAGTGCTTGTTTTTCCTCAGGCTGGTGCCTAGAAATACCCTGGGGTGCGTTTGGGGAGTCAAAGCTGCTAATCCCACTGGCTCAGCCAGCTCGAGCTGCATTCTCATGCTGCTAACACCTCTAACACCTTCCAAGCCGGGACTTTTTATTGCACCCCCTCCCCGTCTAAGCTGTGAACCGGCTGCTTTTCCTGCTGGGGAACTTGAAAAGCACCAGAGGATCAAAGTACTCTGGGAAATGTGAAGGGTGAGCCCTTTCCCTGTGCTGCCCAGATTCCTGCCCTGTGGCACATATCCAGCAGCTGAGTGGGAGTCGTATTTCTGGGAGTGGGATGCTGTGGGGGCTTAGGTCCTATCCTGCTGCTGTGTGGGTGTGGTGCCATTCATGATTTTGTCTGGGGTTGTTTTTGCATTGCTCTCTTCTCTTGTGAAAACATCCTCCTATGCCTCCTGCCAAAGCTTTCTGTATTCTGTGCTGTGCTGTGGGGACATCTGCTCGTCTCTGCAGCAGGAGGCACTGTGAGACAGGGAATAGCTGGGAGCTAAAAATCCTGGGAAAAGGCGGCCCTGTAACTCTGCTAAGCATTTCCATGCATGGCTCTGTTGCTGCTCCAGGCATTGGAAACATGGGAATGCGGGGCTGGCTTCTGGCAGGGCTGCAGGATTTTGCTTGCGTCGGTGCCGTGGACTCTTTCCTTTTCACTGCCTGTGTAAACTGTTGTGTTACAGTGTATTTCAACACGGCAGGTTGCTCGGAGCCTCTGGGCATGAAATCCCGCCTGATCTCCGACCAGCAGATCACAGCCTCCAGCGTCTTCAAGACCTGGGGCATTGATGCCTTTACCTGGCACCCCCATTACGCTCGTCTGGACATGACGGGCAAAACCAACGCCTGGACCGCGCTGAACAACGGCCAGTCCGAGTGGCTGCAGGTGGGTCTGCAGGCCCTCCCTCTGTAACCTTCTGCCTCTTCCCCAGCTTCTCCAGATGTGCCTGGGACCACCTCCTGTGCCTGGGGTCACCTCCTGTGCTGAGGTGGCTGGAAGGAGGATGGGTGCCCCTGACGTGTGCTTTGCTGTGGGGCACACAGCCCGGCCGTGCGCTGCCCGAGCTGGGGTCATAGGGGCAGGTCAGGATGGGACCGCAGCCTCTGGTTTTAACAGCAGTCCTGGAGCTCTGGGTCAGTGCCCGTAGGGACAGGGTGGTGCTGTCTCTGTACCTCGTGGGGTGCGTCAAGCATACAGCACCCCAACTCTGCATCACCCCTTGAGGAAATGCCATCCCAGCCTGAGGTGACAGTCCCACGACCCTCTGGCTGCACAGAACACCAAGTTTCTGTTTTGCAGGAAAAAATCAGGTTTGCTTTTCTCTTCTCAGTCTGGAATGGAAACAAATAGTTTTGAAATTTCCTTCTCAGTTTCCTTTCCTCCCCTGTTTTTATACTTTTCACATGATTCCATGACATAATAGGACAAAGCAGTTTAGATATTTGTCCCGCTTTTTATTTGGGACATGATTAAAAGCAGCTGTTTCACAGCCCTAAATAAAACAGCTTATCAAGACATTGGCTGTGAGGGTCGGGATGACACGCTGAGTTGGGCTGTTGTGCCACAGACTGCCTGTGTGTGTATGTGTGTATAACTTTACATATACACTCAGGATTTATACTGTATAGCTGGAACTGCCCTTGATGAGCATGGAAAAAGAACTAAATTAAGGAGACTTTCAACTCCTTTGCTTGTTACCCTGTGCCAATAGCAGTAGCACAGCGTGGCAGAATAAAGAGAATAGAAACCATCTCACTTAGAACCCAAATGTCAGCCTGTGCTGAACGGCATATTTTGTCAGCCAGAACTGCTTTCCAGTGGAAATGCATTTCCTCTGGGAATCTTTTTTTTTTTTTTTGAATGAAGATTTTTTTACTGTCATTCCCACATTAACATTTTCAGCAAAAAATGTGGAGGTGGTAGGGGTGGGCAAGAGTGCTGAGGCGGTGGGTTTGCACCCACTTTAGAATGCCTTGAGAGATGCTATGAGTGTTGAAGGATCAAATATTTCACAGTAGTGTTTGCCTGGCATTGGGGTGGGGTTCCAGTGGTGTTTTCTCCATTCTTGACCCCTGAGGGCCAGCTCATCCTGGGTGCCTCTGCAACATGAAGGGTGCTGTAGGGTGGGAGCACCACCCCTACAAAGGAGTTGTGACAAGCCTTGTCTCTGTGCCAGATCGACCTCCGGGACCAGAAGAAGGTGACAGGAATCATCACACAAGGAGCCCGTGACTTTGGGCACATCCAGTATGTGGCAGCCTACAAGGTGGCCTACAGTGACAATGGCACGTCCTGGACCCTGTACCGGGATGGCCAGACAAACAGCACCAAGGTGGGTGTGGGCAGGGCAAGGTGGGCAGTGACCTCCGGGGGCTCAGGGGTGCTGTGGTGGGGAGGGGTGGATTGCAGTGGGGGGTGGTCCTGGCGGCGCTGACACCCACCTGTCCCCTCCTAGATCTTCTACGGCAACACTGACAACTACTCACACAAGAAGAACGTGTTCGACGTGCCCTTCTACACCCGCTTCGTCCGCATCCTGCCCGTGGCCTGGCACAACCGCATCACCCTGCGCATGGAGCTGCTGGGCTGCGATGAGTAGGCGCGTGGGGAGGAAGGACGGGGCTGCTCTTCCCCGCCGCCCAGCCTGCGCCCTGCCTGCCCCTGCCCGCTCCTGCTCTGACCTCACACCCCCTCTCCATGTCCCCACACTCGGGAGGCGGCCGAGAGGGCTCCCCTGCCCCGCGTTGGTGCTGGGGCTGCAGCACTGCACTTTACGGGGCCCTTGCAGGTGGGATGTGGGGACGGCTCCTGCCCTTTTGCCGCGCCAGCCAGGGCTGAGACCCACCCCTGCAACTGGGACTTGGCTGGGGGATCCTCTCCTGCAATTGGGGCTTCCTTGAGGGACCCCATCCTGCAAATGGGGCTTTGCTGGGGGACCCTGTCTTGCAGTCAGGGCTTGGCTGTATGCTCCCAGCTAAAGCTGGGGACAAATTTTCTCCCCCTTCTTGCTTCTGCTTCCAGCAGAGAGTCTGCAGTCAGTGGCAGTCCCTTGCCTGCACCTTCTCGAGGCTCAGCAGTTTCCAGGGGCTTAGGGCAGGCACCCTGGGCTTGCAGCCTCCGCTGTCCCTCCTGCTCCCTGCACGTCTGCAAGCAGGGGCTCTGAAAATCCTGTGAAAAAATTCAGCTGTTGTACCCTGCCCATTTTGCCAGGCCCTGGATATCCTTGCCTGTGGTGTCAGCACCGCACAGTGTGAGGGGAGTGATGAGATGGCTCCTGTCAAGAGGCATGGGGTCCCCATTGCTGGTGGCTCTACCCACTGGATACTCCAGAAGGTGCCATGGCTGGCATTTTGGCAGGCATTCCCCTTCCTGGGGTGCCAGCTCCTGTGTCCTCCCAAGTCTCAGCATTGCTGTCAATCCCAGCTCACTGCAGTTTGCCGTGTCTGGAGGTCCATTGTCCCCAGAGCTGAGTGGTGGCCAGGGGGACTGCAATCTGGTAATGGAGAGTGATGGTTTTGTAGCCACAAGGACATGGAAAAAAGATGGGAAAGGTGGTAGTTAAACCACCCAAATGCAGCAGGTAGAGAGCTGTGCCATGACCCTTTCTGTAACCTGATTTTTTTTTTTCCCTTTTTGTGGGGTGGAGAGGAGCCTCTTGCAACGCTCTCAGGATTAGCAGTAGGAGATGAGCGAGACCTGGTACCAGCAGGTGGGAGCACGGGCGGGCAGTCCCGGGCTGGCAGCATTGCTTCCCCTGCCTGCTGGGATGTGAAGCGGCCGTGGGGCCGTGGGTTCACTTTGGCAAGGGCCAAGGAAGCCTGGGTGGGATGGTGGCGGCAGCCCCGCTTCGGGGTGTCTCTGACAGTATTAAAACCAGCTGAAACTTTAGGGCTGTTGGCTTGTCTGCTCTGTGCCTCCCTGAGAGCCATCTCCCAAAGCCCGGCAGGTCCGGTGATCCCCCAGGATCCCTTCTGAGCCCCCTGGCTCCTCCATCCTGGGGGGCTGCCAGCTGCTGTGATGACCCTACGCCTCTCCTTTCACAGACTCTCCTAGTTCCCTTCCCTGTCTGAAAAACAGGGTATTAGGGCTTTGTGCACATCTTCCCTGCTGCCTCCGCCCTGTCTGCAGCTGCCTGAGCCTGTGCTTGCAGTTGGCCAGGCGCAGTGGGAAGGGACTTGGGAAGGGGAAGCCTCTATCATCACCCCACGCCCTTTGTCTCCTCCTTTGGCTTTGATCCTCTAGCAAAAACCCCAGCTTGGAGCTAAATCGGCTCTTACGCCCCAGTGTGCTCCCAGGGCTGGAGGGAGCTGTGAGTGTTGCCAGGGCTGCCCACGGGGATGTTCCCAGCAGGGCCCCGTGGGCAGGGCTGGGAGATGGGTGCTGCTGGAGCAGGATCCCTCTGCATTGAGGATGGGGTCCCTTGTAGGGAAGGAGCACTGGAATGAACAGAGCAGAAGAGATTTGCTCCTCCAGAGAGTCTTCTACCACACTGGGCAGGGACCCCTGAGGTTGGCACAAATGGCCAAGGATTACCTGCTTCCCACCACAGCTCTGGACAATATTCATGCACATTCCTGCTGCCACCAGTGCCCTGCTCGTCCTGTCATCCCCTCCTTGGGCCCTGCCCGTGGAGGATGGGCTGTTGCCTGACTCCGTGGGTGCCAGCTTCAGAGGGTTGAGGGGCTGCTTGCAGAGCAGGGGCTGAATTCACTGTGACTGTGGCTGCTTGATGACAAATAGCAGCCACAGCTAGAGCCAGGGACGGGGAACAGTCTGCCCAGTTCACCTCCAGACATGCCACCCTTATCACCGGGAAGCTGGTGCAGAGATAAGAGCAGTTCGTGTGGAGTCCAGCCAAGACAGCCCTGAGCCAGAGACACCGGAGAGGCTCCATGAGGAGGGTGATGGGAGCAGATGCTGTGTCTCAGAGCAGGGGATGCATCCTCAGCCCCTGGCTGCTGCTTCCCCCTGCCCACTGCTACCCCCCAAGTGAGCCCCTCTGGCGGATGCTGAGCCCTTTCTCAACCTTGTGGTCATTTCCTTCCTCCTCTGGAGCCCCAGGATGGGGGCGTTGGTGAGAGCCAGGGTGCCTTCCTCGCCATGCACAGCCCCTCGTGGTTTGTCCCTATCTCTTGGATGCTCTTCCTGGATTTGGCCAGGTTGCTGGAGCAGCAGGAAGGCCAGGATGGCCGGCACACTGTGGCACCCTGCTGCCTGCTGACTCGGCTGCCTGTGCTGCCAGCTGCTGCAAACTGGTTCCTCAGGAAGCAGCCATCAGGGAGAGCATCCTCTCCCCTCTCACCACCACCCGGAAAGCCCAGCACCTCCTCCATCCTACAGGAATGTGAGTGTTCCTCTGCAGTTTTGGCCTTGGCAACAGGTTCCTGCTGGAATCATCCAGTGCCAGTGGCATTTCATGGACAAATCTCTCTGGTGGGGCCACAGTGGACCTGTCAGCTGCTGGCTTTGAGGCAGGGAAGACAGGGATGACATTTTTATGGCTCTCGTTCAGCCAAAATTTCAGCCAACCCTAAACACATGCCCTAAACATGTGCTCCTGGGTCAGAGCTATGCTGACCCCGTGCAGCTTTGCTGAAAACTCTGAAAACCTGTGGTCCCACCCAGGGTTCCCCTCAGGGAGCAGAAAACAAATATGGGATCATCCCAGAAGTGCCACAAATAGAGTGAGAGATGGTAAGGAGTGAAGGGGATTCCTTTTTTCCTCCAGGTCTGCCAGTGGCCAGATCCTTCCCAATTCTGCCTGTTGACCAGGAGAAAGGAGAGGAATCGTTGGCCACATCCAGACAAGAGAGAGTCATGGCCAAATGTGGACCAGGAGCTGTTGCTGAAAAGAGATGCACAAAAGCATTCCTGTCCCCTTCCCTGCTGCCGTTCCCCTCCTCAGGCCGGGCAGAGGATGGCTGCTGCAGGCGCTGTAGTGCAGGCAGTGCAGGCTGCACAGGACACTGTGGGGCTGGTCCTTCGGCTCTGGAACAATGGGCCGGCCATGCCAGGGAGCACTGTGCCCTGACAGGGCTGTCTGTCTGTCTGTCTGCACAGGCAGCGAGTGGAGGGAACCATCCCAGTCGCTGGGTTAGCGGGACAGGGACAACTTGGGCAAGCAACTACAGGGGGGCACTGGTCGCCGGGATGCAGCTGGGATGTCATCCCACCATCTTCTCCGGCCAAGGGGCGGGGCTGGGAGGGACAGGGACCCTCGGCCAGGATGCAGGGCAGCGCAGTGGCCGCATGCCTGGAGATGTAATTGCCCCTCCATTGTGGGCTGCGGGACAGGCTGCTCCGGGCAGGCGAGCAGGCGGCGTGCCCGGCCGTCACACTCCCATGTCCCTGGGCAGCCCGGCTCCACCGCGTCCCTCCTCGGGGAGGGCTGGCAGGCCCGGTGGGTGTGCAGGGAAAAGGAGAACAAGGAAGAGCAGTGCCTCCAGACCGCGGGTCCCACGGTCATCCCCGGTCGGGGCTTCCCCCGGGGAACTCGGGCTGCCGTGCCGGCGCTGGCGGCAGATAACGCCGCTTCCTTGCGGGCTGCTCCCTATCAGTGCGGCGGCGTCGGGCAGACAAGATCGCACCGGGAGCGCTCCACGCTGGGGGGCTGTCAGAAAGGGGTCCTGGCCCCCTTCACCCCGCAGCCAGCCTCGGAGCGGTTTATTTTTACACGAGTTGTTTTCTTTCCGGCTTGAAGCCATCCTGCGCGGCGGCAAGAGCCGGACCGGGGCCCCCAAGCCTCATTTCCTTGCCATAAAACAACAAAGTGGGGGGTGATGCAGCGCACCGGGCTGGGACAGCGGGTCGATGGGTCAGGGCACACGCGGCTTTGTGGTTCCTTCGTGTGTTTGGCCTCACTGTCCAACCCCTGCCCGGCATCCCCCAGCTGTGCCGCCGCCGTACTGCCCTTCCTGAGGACTCGATCCGGGGCTCTTAGAGACGGGTCTGCATACCTGTGTGCCAGTGGAAGCTGGCATGGAGGGCATCATCCAAGTTTAGGGATGATGCCTCCTCACATGGGTGCAACTGGGCACCCCAGAGCTTTCGCCCTGGGTTCTGTGCCTCTGCTTTGTCCTCACAGCACCAAGCAGACCTTGAAGGGGCTGAACCCCACAGCTCAGCAGCCTCTCCTAAATCCCAGAGTAGGCAGGTGCTGCCTTGCACTTCCTGGGCACAAACCACCCACTGACACAGCCCACCTGTCCGAGGCTGCTTGTGTCCTCGCTGCTCCTGCCACATGTGTCCAAAGCTGGACACTACCTTTGCCTGGGAACTGCAACCAGTCCTCCCGGTTGTATGTGGGACAAGGGATGGCTCTTTTTTCCTGGCACTGTGACTTCACCAGGGCTTTGCACGGGGCATCATAAGATCACACCAGCCCCACTGGGGCACCTTGCTCCCCACGGACCCTTCAAAGCTGGGGGCGATGTGGGCAGCTGGCACATCACAGATGGGGTGTGTTAACGGTGTGTGGGCAGCATGCGGGCAGCGTGTGGGCAGAGTGTGGGTGCACGGCCAGGCTGTCAGCCAGGCAGGCCGGGCAGGCAGGGGGCCGGGGGCACCCACCCCAGCTCCTGGCTGTGAGCAGGGGGTTGGGAAACGTGTGTTTCCCTTTAAGAGGCAGGCCCTGGAGCTGCTTCCTCTCAGCCCTGCAAGAGCCCTAAACACAGTGCATCTGCCTGCAGCCTGCCTGCACGCCTGCCCGCAGCCTGCCCGCAACCAGCGTGAGTAGGGCTTTGCCCCAGCGCCGGGACTGGGGAGGGCTGGCACCCTGGGGCGGTGGGCACCCTGCTTGCCGTGGAGGACATGGAGGGATGGCATCACCATGGAGGGAGCCGGGCATCACTGCAGAAGGTGCCAGACATCGCTGCGGTGGGTGCTGCACCACGATGCTCGCTGGCGTTACAGCTGAGGATGCCGGGCCCCCAGCACGTCACTGCAACGCTGGGCTCTGGGTTGTGTGTGTGTGGGGGGTGTAACCAGGCACTGGGGTACAGGGCGAGCAGGGCTGGTGCCCTGCAAACCGAGGTGTGGAGCTGCCGTGCCTCGAGCCCACCCTGGGGTGCGTGGGCAGCACGTGGCGTGGCTCCCGTGGCTCCGCTGCCTGCGCTGCTCACCTCTGTGCCGGGCCTGGGGCTGCGCTGGTGCTCCAGGGGTGCACCCCGTGCCCTCGGGCGCTGGTTCTGCAGATCCCAGTGGGTGGCAAGCATGGGCTGCACCCCACGGTGAGCAGTGGCTCTGACCGCTGAGGAGAGTCCGGCAGAGAGTAATCTGTGGTGAGAGCAGTCGGTTGCACACCCTGGTCCCCGGAGACCACCACTGTACCCCATATCGGACCCTGCTGGGGGTGAGCACCCGCTCTCACACAGCCCCCTGGCCCGGGGCACATTTGCAGGCACTCCTAAGCCTCTTCTAAGCAGGGCACAGATGTCAGAGCCGTCCCAGTGTTGGAGGGGGTCTGCCGGAGGCTTGCCGAGTGCCGGGCCCCCTCTGCCGGCTCTGGGAATCCTCACAAGAAACCAATCCTGGGAGCACCCTGGGTGAGCCCCATGCAGGGCAGCCGTGGGTGCCCAGGCACTCAGATCTAGGGGTAGCGCAGATCTCTGGCGCTGTGGAACAGCCGGGCTGCCCTCACCCATGGGACATGTTTTGGGAGCAAAATGTGTTGCATGGTGTCGGCGCCAGCTGTGTCTGTGGTGCAGAGCTCTGGGTCGAAGTCGGGGGTCCTTGACCAGTGGCGGGTGCAGCTGGGCTTTGTCCGGGGCTGGGGCAGCGGAGGCAGCCTGAGCCCACTCCCCACCTTGTCGGCCAGGCTGCACGCTCGGCTGCCTCTGTAAACCGAGCTTGCTGCTTACAGTGGGACTCGGTCACTTCTTTGCCTCTGC